AATAAAGCATAAGAATAAAAATTTTTAAAAAGAAGCTACCCAAAAATTTACCTCTTCACAACTAGCAACACATGGTGTACACCTTTTTTTTGAGCTGAAAACATTAACCCCTTCAATTTAGATTTTGTAAAAGCATACTAAAAATAACCATCTGTATTTTTATTATTACTTATACTATTATACATTTTAAATGAAGGGTGATCTTAAAAGAAGTAAAATAGGATGATGAATGTATTAAACAGTTTCTTTACTTCTCTTAGATTGACCTTCAAGATTTCACTTTTTCTACATACCTAGATGAATTACAAAGGTCTTATCAAATAAATCTACCGAAATTGTTTCACCTATAAAATTTATTCTAGAAATAGAAAAATGAAAAAGGAGCACTTGTTTTCCATTTGACTTACGTTGCATATTTATAAGAGATTGACTTCTTTACTATAAAGACTTAAAATAAATCACAATTTGACTGAAATTTCTCCTCTATGATTTAAATAACAAAATGAAGCAAATTGGAAGATAAAATAAATTTTAAATCCAGAAATATTAATTACAGTGTTACTTTTTTACATGTGTCTATTCCTAAAGTGAAGACTCATAATTTCATCCAGCTTCACTTGGACAGTAGCTAGACAGAAGCAAGGAAAATAAATGCATAAAACTGAAATTGTTATACATGTGAGAAAATGCCTAATTTACACGTAAGTATAATCCAGCATATATAAACTATATACATGCATATACAGCGTATATACATATATAATAGTACAATATATATATGTATACACACACATACATGATTGTTATTGCTCCTATTACTTTAAAAAGGCCTATAGTATATTAAACAGGATACTTATATGGTGAAATTAGTGATAGCTATTTATGCTCTGTTCACCTGAAGTTTCATAGTTAAGGATTTTGAGCTAAATATAAGTTATAGCTCAAATAACCTAAAATGGAGTATTCTTTTATTACCATTTCTCTCATATTGTTTCGACTCCTTACAGTCAGGTGTCACATACAGTGAAGCATCTCATTAGTGTGTTCTTTGTCATGGCCATTTTGCAAAAATGCAACATTTGTTGGCCTACACAACATAACTTCCAAAGGATAGGACTGTATGAACAATTAATTTGCACCAAACAAATCAAAATAATGTGTTTCAGTAGTTAAAGTCCTTATCTTCTGCAATTGCATTATCAATGTTCATAATGCTAAGCACAAATATTATTTTCAGATATCAATGGTTTACAACTAACATTTCTGGGTTAAAAAAAACACTTTTAAAATTCAGTCATTAAACTTTTTCTTGTGATTTCTCTCTAAACTTTTATTTAAAATATGGTTGTCATCATCATCATCATATTTTTAGTATTTTGCAATTAGATGAAATAATATTGCTTTTAAAGTAAAAACATAAAAGCATCCACATAAATAAAACTGTATATGGTAATATGTCGAAACTATTACTGAATCAGACCAATATTTCACTTTCAATCATATTTCACTCACCATCTCATAGTAAAAGGGACATTGCAATACATTTTATTTTAAATATTATTACTAAAATTTATAATAAAATAGCAATGAAATACTAGCAAATATCCACTTGATCTAGGTCTGCTTCATTCGAATTGACCATCACTATGAAGTGAATAGCAGTGTGCATTTTTCTCAAAAATAAGCACTTTACTACAGAAAAAAAAATGAAATAAGTTCTAATAGTAGTACCTATAATAATACCCATGGTACTTTAAGAAAATATATCTGGTATTATGAACTAAAGTTAAGTAATTCTAATACACAACAAAAATAAGTGACCTAGCCAAGGGGTAGAAAACTCCATGGATGCAAAAAAAAAAATATCTTCTTTAATACAAAATTTCATTCTCATATAAATTTATTTTCACTAAATAAATTTATTTCTCACTCAAGGGTAAAATTATTACCTATATTTAAGACAGTCTTACTTTCTGTATTTAATAAATAAAATATAAACATTATAATTATCAAGGTATATTTGAATGTAATATGGTTTATGGATACTCATTTCTCAAATGTCAAAAGCACCAGGATCATTAGGGATTGCACTTTAACCTGATTTGTATAATTTACCATGTTATGAATGTGTGCAGTTATTAAGAAAATGGTGAATATTGTCAGAAGTACCTAGCTTTGCACTTTGAGTTTTTTATTATGCACATGCTTTCTACTATCCACTAAAATATTTAATTAAGAGGAATGGGGACATGATAAATCACTAGTTTGGAGGGGCTCCATAGATCAGGTTTGAAAACACTTAAACTTTAGTACTGACTTTCTGTGCCTTGGGAAAAGACTTTAAGCGAAGAAAGAAGTGTTTAAAAAGAATGAGGAATGAGGATAGCGAAATAGCTATGAAAAAGCTGACTTATGGGAAAGTGAAAAGAAAAGGAAAAGAATTTTAAAAGAACAATAACACCTATTTAACAGTGGGTCTGATTCTCTTGCATAAGCAGCGTTGCATTTCAATATTGTATGTAGAGAAACAGTGAATCCTGCCGGTGGGCTTCTCTTCATCTGAAGTAATTCCAAAATACACCTCAAATAATGAAGGACAAAAGGTGTAGGTACAATGTGCCAAATGCAAAGTAGCCCTGAAAAATTGCTTTTTTATATTGATATACTTGTGTGTGTTTTTTTATTTTATGCATACCTATGTTGATATCCATGTATAACTAATCGAAAGATATATAAATATATCATAGACATTTATGGGGCTTTTTTTTTTTTAAGTACAATGCCTTAATTTTATATCAGTTACACAGCTTTAGAAGCTGCTAGTCTTCTTTCGTATGGGAAAAAATGGGATGTAAGGCATCAGTGACTTGTGAATTACATTCAACACATAATGATAATTTCTACTAAGGGCAGCTTGAGGAAACACTAGCAGAGAACGCGGGGGTCAACGCACAATTCTGCAGCTCAGGGTCTCTGACTCTCTGGAGCTCTGCTGCCCTCTAATGGCATAATGAGACAAGTGCCTCCCGAGCTCTGTATGGTATTCTTTCTTAAATAACATACTGGCACCTTAAAAATCCGATTTTCTTTGGTTTCGCTCACATGTAAATGGATCATAACTTGGATTATTGTCAGATTAATTTAGAAACATCATTTTTGTGTCATAAAGGATGAAAAACTCATCCAACGTCCTTTGTCTTAGTTCAAGCATGACTGGGGCCAGTTGCGGTATGTGGTTGGCAAAACCAGTAGCTAAATATGTGACAACTTTCACAGATAACAGGATTCTGACAAATTGGCTCCAAGACCTTTGATTTTTTTAATGGGATGCGTGCGTGTGTGTGTAACTTTAGTGCACGTTTTTTATAAGAATAGCAATTTTTCTTTTCCTTTTTGTCATTTATTCTCTTAAGATGCCTGGATCCTCCTCTTATTTAATTCTATACGTCTTAGCAACATGGTCACCTTATTTTTCCCAATTACATCCTGCCTAGGAAAAGTGGTGCATCGTTGGGGTACTAAGTTTGAAATATATAATCCAAGAGACAAGAAGCAAATGGTATAAATCAGATTTTTTAAAGTCCCAATTGTATCCTGGTATGGGAAGGGGTGGGAGGGGGGTATAAGATTTATCAACATCACAGTGCATCAAACTTGTTAATAAACTAGCTTTCTGTATAACAAGGAAAAGAAAGATTTTTTTAATGTGATCATGAAAGGCATGGCATAGCTGGAATTTAAGGTTCAAGCTTTGTATCCTCTATATATAATGTATTATGTTTTTCAAAAACTTTTTATTAGGAAAGCTATACCGGACGCATAATCACTATACAATGATTAAACATTACCTTTACAATTTATAACTGAAATTACAGAATAAATATATGCACATTTCTTTTGAATCTGTGTGTGAGAGAAAACATTAAAAGTGCTTCCTACAAAGCTGTTAGTGATATATACCAGTTGCTTTTTTGTTTTTTTAATATTATATATATTTATATAAGAAAGTGCAGATGTTCTCCAAAATATCTTGGCATCAGGATGAAGTGTCACAAAGAGGATGCTCATCCCTAGGTGTGCGCCTCGGGCTGGGAAACCACCGGGCCTCCCCTGCCCTGGGATCCAGCCTAGAATAGGACTTTCCCTGGGCGGTAGGAAAGATGTTGTGAGCTATACACTAGGGTTGAGGGGAAGGTAGAGCTGTGGAGAGGAGGCAAATGGATCAAACCCGAAATAATTACATTGACTTGAATGGGAGTGGTATCTGGGTGTGTGTGTGTGTGTGTGTGTGTGTGTGTGTATGTGTGTGTGTGCGTGCCTGTGTACCTGCACCAGAAGCAAGAGGGTGCCAGTTGGCAGGTTTTAGGGACCCGTGGGCAGGGCTTTGGTGATTGGCCTGTGAGTATGTGTGGGAGAGAAAGAAGAGTGGGTGAGAACATTCGAGCAAGACCCGCCCCCTCCCTCCCCGGCTTGCAGTTTCCAGGCATGCAGCAAACTGCATTGGTAATACATGTACAGGATCTGTGCCATGATGGGAAGGGGAAAGAGAGCCACGGATGTCAATTTGTTTTCTCCGCTCCCTGTTGAACAGAACTCAGTTGGGGGGGGGTTACTGAAAATCAAAAGATACATTGAATTTTACTTCATTAGGATCAATACAACGATCCCCAATATACCTTATACATGGCACAGTCAAAGTCTCAAGTTTCAGTATAAAAAAAATAATGATAACATTTGCTGGCAAAAGTCTGCGAAGGCACTTCATTGATTAATGATCTCCGGATGGCCCTCCCTCCCCATTGCATCGGGGAGGGGAGCGCATACAGCTTGTATTTTCTAGTTTCCATGCGGTGTGGGTTCCGTTCGGGGCAGGAACGTCTGTGAGGATGGATTGATTGGGAACCGTGGAAAGGGAACAGGGGATATATTTCTTTCATTTTCCTTTTCTTTTGGGAACAAAAAACAAAACCAAAAGTAGTAATTTATTTGTATTTTTTCTGTTAGAACCTATATGCTGTCTTCTCCAGGACTTCGAGGTAATCCGGCTTGGTTTGAAGTTTGGCCCTTAACTCGAGGTAATCATTTTTGGGGGTTTGGTGGTCTGTGAAGCCCTTTCCAGCCGAGAAGAGAAGGGTTTCTTTCAGCCTGGCATCCTGCTGTAAGTCTGGGTATTGCATGCCAGGGGCGTGGACGTGCAGTTCCTTTAACTTGGGCACCGTGCCGTAGAGGCAGTCCACGAAGCCCACCGTGCAGGGGGCTGGCGGCGGCCTCTCCCGGTCCAGGAGCAGACTGCCTCCCCCGCAGCCTCCCCCGGGGGGGAACAGCACCACCCCGCCATTCTTCTCGTGGTGGCGGAACCCAGCCAAGTCTGCCCCAGGTCCCGCCACGACCCCCGACACCCCCCCGACGGCTGGGTGGTGGGGGTGCGGGTGGTGATGGTTCCCCGTCACGATGGTGTTGAGCTGGGAGCTGGACACGGCCAGGGCCCACTCCTTCTCCTTCTCCAGCAAGGTCCGGTAGTTGCTGGGGTTCTCCTTGGGGGGCTCGGCAAACTGCTCGCTCCCCAGGAGCACCTCGCCCATGGCGGGCGGCTGTGTCCCGGGACCCCCGCGTTCTGTGCTCCCTGCCTCCTGCCCTGATGCCACGGCCGCCGCTGCCTCCTCCTCCTCGCGAGGCTTGTAGATGGGGTTGTTGCACATCTGGGTCACGGGGTGGGGGATGTACTCGTACACGTGGCCCACCGGGGGGCCTTCTCTGGGGAGGAGAGAGGGGGTCGGCCCCCGCCCCCGCTCCCACCTCCCCCGCCCCCGCCGTCCTCGAAAAGCCGGTGGCATTGCATCTGGATCCCGGTGAGGTCCACGCCCTCCTGCCTCTTGCTTCTAAAGGGCAGCTTCTTCCTCCGCCGGCGGAGCACATAGGCAAAGAGGCCCGCAGCCACGAAGACGGCGGAGAAAAACAGGACCAGCAGGCTGAGGATCAACACAGAAAGCGGCACCGGGCCCCCCGGGGGAGAGAACTCATAGGGCGATGCACTCGTCGGCCCCCCGGGAAGGTGGGGCTCCCCAGGCTGGGCCGGGGAGGCTCCGGCTGGTGCCGTGTGCATCATCTCGGGACAGAGCACTTCCAGCTCAATGGTGCGCACGTCCCGGTGGGTGAGGTTCTCGGGGCTCCTGCACAGCACATCCCCCACCACACTGACGGAACTGATGGTTTCGATCCACTGCTTGAAGGGGACCAGGTCACAGGTGCAGTCCCAAGGGTTCTCATTGAGGTCTATCTGGACGATGGCGTTCAAGTGTTCCAGAACACCAGCCACGGGAAGGTAGAGGAAGTAGTTTTTCCTCAAGTTGAGCCGCGCCAGGGATGTGCCCGCAAAGGCATCCGTGGGCAGAGTCCTCAACAAGTTATTGTTGAGGAATAGCAGCTTCAAGTTGGGCATGAGGCTGAAGGCTGCAGGCTGGATCTCCCGGATGACGTTGAACTCGAAGTACAAGTAGTGCAAACTCTGTAGGCCTCGGAACATGCCCGGTGTCAGCTTCTCGATATCGTTGCCATTGAGAAAGAGGCTCTTTAGGTTGGGCAGGTTGATGAAGGCCCCATCCTGGACGTAAGAAATACGATTGTTCCCCAGATGCAAGAGATCCAATGACGAGAAATTCCAAAAATCGGAACGGTATATTTTCTGAATCAGATTGCTACTCAGGTAGAGTTTCTTGGCGTTCAGCGGCCTTGGAAGAAGTTCAGAAATGTTATTAAATCCTCGCTCTTTGCAGTTGACAGTCAAGCCAAGGTCATTGATGTGCAAATTACAGGTACACCCAGTAGGGCAGATAATAGGAATGGGTGGTCTGGTCTGGTAGGGAGCAATGGGAGGTTGGTTTGGACCAGGATAGAAAGCTTGGGATGTGGAGGGCGGCCTTGGTGTCCGGGGCTGTTTGGTGGGCTTGGGCTGCTTATTTGAGGACTTGTATTCAACGGAAGAAGCAGTAAAATGGACAGAGGACAGCATGGAGGAAGGCTTCGTTGGCCATGCATGCTCCTTGTTTGATGACAGGTGGGGAATCCCCAGACTGGCCTCCACCTCCGAGTCGGACAACAAGGGACAGAGTTCTGACTTCCGGATTTCTCGCAGGTCCTTCCCGTGGAAGTGGAAGGGGGTCTCACAGGTGATGTCTCCCACCAGGGCGGTGTAAGGGATGCGCTCCAGCCAGCTCTTCAGCTGCACGATCTCGCACGTACAGTTCCAGGGATTTTCCTCCAGCTGGAGCTCCATCAGGCTCCTGCCGATGTGGTCGAGCATCCCTCGGTAAAAAAGGACCTTCAGCCTGTTCCCACGGAGGTCCAAATGCGTTAAGGAGACAGCCTTAAATAAATTGGTGGGCAGCATGGGGATGAGATTGTCATTTAAAATCAGAACTCTCAGTTTGCTGAGGTTCCGAAATGCACCACTCTCGATGCGTTTAATGACGTTGTAATCTGCTTGCAGATATTCGAGACTCTCCAAGCCCAGAAAAGTGTCATTTCTGAAGACGTCGAGTTTGTTCTCATGTAGATACAGCCTCTTTAAAATCTTAAGACCATTGAAAGCTCCTGTTTGAATGTCCTGCAAGGCATTGTTCCCAAGGTTAATGGACACAGCGTTATTCAAATGAAGAAAACTGTTGGTGTACAATTTCCTCATGGAATTCCTCTGCAGATATAGTTTAAAAGGTCTGGACCAGAACTCGGTAATCTGGCTGATATTTGTAAATCCTTTACTGTCACAATGTATGTGAAAGAGGCTTTCTTTGACTTCACAGTAGCATGGATCAAAACAGGGCTCATCTATTTCCTCTGAGTCCTCTATCAGGGGAATCGGGGTCGTCCAGCCCAGAGCGATTGTGCTTAGAAGAATAATCCACAGCATCTTCCCTCTGTGAACCAGCTCAGCTATGGAAGGTTTCATCATTCGTGGTGGATTACAGAACTGCAACAGAAATAAAGATGCAGATTTTTAGCTGTTAGTCATACGCACTGTTCTAATTGACTCCTACATCGGGGCTTTTTAGTAAGAGTGAAGTAAAAACCTCCGCAGTTGTGGAACTGACACTCAAAAGGACCTAGCAACATGCCTACTTTGCCCTATATTTTACACTTAGGAAACAGAAATATTGTATCATGTGATGACGTTACCCAGCCATACTTGGTAAAGGGTATGTCATACAAAAGAAGCCTTCATTGTCACTTATAGCCAGTAAGGGGACTGGTAAGTGATGCATTTAAATATAGGCAGATTCAGTAATAATGGCAATAATTTGGCCATTACACCTGCTTGCCTGTTAAAACTCACATTGGACTCAGAGGTGCCCGTTATAGATCTGATTGGAACTCGTATGGGGGAAAAAGTCCTTTAAATTATAGTTTTCTACTCATGAAAAGACATGTTATTAAAGAGCGTGAGAAAGTCTGAGCTCATTGCCCCATCTGATTGGAACTCTGATGGGAAAAAATATCCTTTAAATTATAGGTTTCTTCTCATGAAAATACATGACGAAAATAAAAGTTATTAGATTGAAGAGTATGATAAAGTATGAGCTCATTGCCCAACTATCCGATGTTGGGAAGTTTAAAATGATTGATATCTCAGGAAAACGTCAGATTTCTCCTAAGAAATGATCACATCATGCTTATCGTGTCTGCTCAGTAACACACTGTGCCTCCACTCCCTCTGCCCAAACACAGATTATGGATGTGTCCTCTAATTAAGTATTTTCTATATACGTGCATCATTTAGCTAAACCTTTTAGCAGTGATTATCCTTTCTAAAGAACAAGTCCATGCACTTGTCAGAGCTAAAGACAATGACAGTGAAAGGGTGCTGGACCTGGGAGTGTCTGTATTAACAGCTCATCTGTGCCTTCATGATCAACTCAAGAACCCTGTCAAAAGCTGAAACTGGAACGGCAGGTGGCTGTTTAGAGTAGTTAAAGGCAAGAAAGGGGGGAACCTTGACACATACCTGCTGATAAATGATCTATCACATGAGATACATTTCAAGGAAACATATCATTCTTTTTCAATCCGAAGAAGCAAACACAGTGCTAATAATAAATACAGAGCATCCCCCATGGCTTTTTTCCCCTTGCCTAATGTCATCAGTATATGAAAATGCATACATACATAAATTATAATAATGCAGCTTTATTACATTGCCCTTTAGGAGTCACTGAACTGTCCATCGAAATTGAGGGGTTGTTTTTAATCAATAAAAATAAACTGGAGTTTTTCGCATATAATTTTCTCTCCACACTTGGATACATGCATTAAGGAAATATTCAGCCAACCCTCTAACTTAAAGCATAATGTTTTAATTTATAGGGGGAGTGAAAAGAATAAATCTTCGCGGTCAACTTGCACAGAATGTACACAGCTGTAAGGAGAGGAGAACCAGTGAGAAAGCAAAGAGGAATCTGCCTCAGGCGTTCAATACTCAATTTTTAGAAACAATTAAATGAAAAAGAGGGGGGTGGAGAGAGAAGGCAGATGAGACTACATTGCAGTATCAGTTAGTCTCCCTTATAAAATATTAAAATCTACTTAAGTTCTTTCTTCACCATTGTTTTTTTACTTTAAATGTTTTATTTTATTTTTGAGGTCCCTGAGATTTAGGTAAACAAGGCTCCATATGTCTTTGATTTACCTATTTTGTAGGAGAATATATATATATATATATATATATATATATATATATATATATATATATATC